CCATACACCTAGCCCCTATGTTCTTCATCAGTTTGAGCAGAGTCTTGGGTTTTTTGCCTGGGCTGAGTGCATTGTAGGCCTCATATTTATATCTTCCACAAAGCTGGATGACAGATATATGCCACCATCTTCACTGGTTGAAAAAATGGGGTCTCTGTGGCCTTCCCCCTGGGCTGGCCTGGGGCTGCGAGTCTGGCTCTGCCTTCAGAGAAGCTAAGATTCCAGGCGTAGCCTTCACACCCAGCCTCTGTTTCCATTGTGGGAAAGGACTCAGCTTTTTACATTTGTAATGCTTTTCTCTCTCAGAGGACTAGACAAGGTAACACTTGGAAGTGTCTTAACATATGCTAAGTTCATTACATGGAAGCTATTGCTTTCCAAATATGAAGGCTAGTGAATTTTTCCTGAGAAGACTCTTTGCCGTGTCCTGTGAAGTGTGCCCTGCTTCCTGCTCACCTGAGCCCACGGCCTGGAGACTCCAGTGGCCTCTGTTGTCAGTGTTCCTGGCTGTGACCCTTGCCCTCCCATTGCTAACACTTTTTGTAAGAGCTGTTCGGAATCAATGCCTACTCCTTGTTCTGCCAGCCTGGTGGTATGGCTGAGGTTTTGGCATCAGACCTCAGGCAGAGAAGCAGGAAGACCTGGCAGGAACTGTGGCTGGTAACCTGAGGCAGTCCTGGCCTGGGGGGCAGGGAAGGGAGGAATGGGGGGTGGTGTAAACTCCTGACTGAATCCTCTTCAGAGGGTCGCCAGAGCCAGGAGAGGCTGCTCCCTCACAGCAGAGCTGGGCAGGAAGAACCTTGTCCTGGATGGAAGTCCAGAGGGCACTCAGGAGTGTCTGCTGGTTCCCTTTCTATGGAAGGCTTGGGGAGCCAGCCGGGCTGGTGAGGCCTTGGCCTGCTCCCTCCCTGGGCAGGTCAAGGAGTGTGCCTTCCCCTTTGTCTCCTCCAGTGTGGGTGTCCTGTCCTTGACTCTGCTACCCCTGTGGTCCTGTGGTCCCTGCACAGCTGGCCGACACGTCGGCCGGCCGCCTGGCCGCGCTCCGGGCCATCAGCCTTCGTGGTGTGCCCTTGGACAGAGGTGTTGCATTAGCGAAAATAGTTCTGGGGATTTTATGGGAAATAACTGGTTTTGTTTCCTGAAAATAAACATGTGACGGGTGTGTGCTGGAATGTGAGGGAACAGGACGAGGTGGAGGTGGCTTCCCACCCCCTTAATGGCCTGTTTTCTAAGACTCCTCACATTTTTGTGCATTTACACAGTACATATCAGAGTGGTCAGACAACCACAACATGTGGGCACCGCTCCTCATGAACTGCCATTCTGGGAGTCCAAATACAGGCCCAGCTCAGCTCCTTCGTAATTGACCCAAATGTCAGAGTTCTGGTAAAGTATGAAGCAGGGTCTCCTGTGAGCTCAGCTGTCTGTGAGTGCCAGCAGAGCACACCACGGTTAGTGAGACTCCCCAAGATCACTCCTGTCTTGATGGTTAGACAAACAGGATTGCTGACTTCACTTGACAGCATGTTAGCAAGAGTGCCCTGTATGTCAGAAACGGCTGTATTTTCCTACAGTGTTACCCTGTGTTTCATATTATATCATGAAATAACTCATTTTTATATGGAAAACAAGAGGATTTTTTGTTTAGTTGACATTTTTAAAGTAGATAATAGGTGATTTTTAAGACTTGATAAGTTCTCTCTCCAGAGAAGAGATTTGCCTTTTTGGTGATGTAAATATTTAGTCCTGGATAGACAATTTAAATTGAAAAGCAAAAAAAAGAAAAAGAAAAACAATGAAAGACTTTTTAATGAACTCCTTTCTTTTGGGCAGTGCTGGGGTTTGCATTCAGGACCGTGCCCTTGCTGGGCAGCCACTGTACCATTTGAGTCACATCCTAGCTCCTTTTCACCCTTGCTTTGAATGGAGTCTTACATGTTTGCCCGAGCCTGCTGGGACTTCAATATGCCTGTTTGTACTTCCTGTATATCTGGGATAACAAGCCTGCCCCTCACACCTCACTTTTATGGAATGGGATGGAATCTTTCAAGCTTATTGGCTTGAGCTGGGCATGAGCCATGACCTCCTTGTCTTAGCCTCCTGCATAGCAAGGATTGCAGGTTTGTAGGCGTGAGCTTAATGCCCAGTTGACTGAAATGATTTTGTTACACTGGAGATTTTAGGTTTCAGAAGTAGTCACATTGATATTTTGCTTTTTTAGTTTTATATCTTTCAGTATTTTTGTGAAAAGAAATAAAGTGATCATTGATACAGATAAAACTCTACTCCCCCCACCCCATACTCATTCTTCTTTGACAATTGCTACCAACTTTGGGGCAGATCTTCACCACTCCACCCTCAGACCCGTGTGTCGGGCTGCTCAGTGTGCTACTCTTGTAATGCCTGCTGATAGCTCCACTGTTTGTTTGTCTTGTATATGTTTTGGTATGTTTCTCCCACAATACATTTCTCTCTGAATGCTGCTGGAGTGTCTCCACCCAGCACTGAGCGTCTCCTCGTCATCAGGGTATTTTATCAGCCTGAGCATCACTTCATTTTAAAGTCAAAAGTTAAATTTCCATATTCTAGTTAATTTTTGGCTCTTGATCTATATTAGGGCCTTGTGTTTATTGGCTTGTTTTAAAAACAGATACTGCATAGGCATGAAAAGAGCGTGTTCTTGTGTCTGTTGGCTCAACCTGTCAGCTGTATTTGAAATGTTCAAGTATTCTTGATTTTTTTTAATATACTTGATGTTTTAGTTATGGAGAGAAGTGTATTAACATCTCCCAGCATGCTTTCAGTCAGTCAGTTCCTCTTTCCCAGTGTACTCATTTTTGCTCTGTGCATTTTCTGAAGGCCATGTTATTAGGGTCCAGGATTCCGTGCTTCCTTTTATCACTTAAAACCTATTTCCAGGTAGGTTTTCTTTTCTTTATTGCCTCCTCCCTCCTCATTTTCTAGTGCTGTGAATCTTGCCTCATTGTGTTTTGAATATGATGTTTTTTCCTCCATGTCTCAGTTTTAACTTCTAAAATAGATATTTAAATGTATTCTGTGAACTCTGATATGAGTGTATTTTCTTTCTCTTACAATTACTATCATCATTCATACATTTGATCTTATTTTGTGCTTTTAAAATTTTATATTTCCTTTCTCCTACATTTCTTCTAAAACGAAGTTTACAACTTTGGGGTGGGTGGAGGATGCGAAGGGATGGGAAAGGGAAAAAAGGAGGAGGCTACAGTGCTTGGTAAGAAATGTACTCATTATCTTGTCCATGTAATTGTAACCCCTCTGTACAGTATTTTCACAATAAAAAACGTTTATAATAAAAAATAAAACTATACTGAAACTTAAAAAAATAAAAACATTTCCTCTCTACTGCTTATTGAAGTGGACAAAAATGCTAAATGTACGTGTCCCCTTAGTGGCCTGGCCATTTGTCACGCCTGTGCTCGTTGGTCCTCTTCAGCCCCTGTCTGTCCGTTAGCTGTGCAGGGTGAAGGCCTCTTTCTGAGAGGCGACTTTCTGTGAGCAGGGTCTCTGTTGGTGCTGTGTGTGTGTCCAGCTCATGGTGCAGTGTTTAGCAGATGATCTCAATGTGTATCATTATGTTATGTCACAAGTCACCAGGCCGCTCTAACTTAGGACCAGCTCCTGGGGTGTGCGAAGAAGTGCCACAGTGGCCAGGCCCCTTGCCTAGCAATGGGTATTGCAAGGTTTCTAGGTTTGTGAAGAGGAGGAATTGCGGGTGCGGGCTTTGGAGTGCTGTCTGGCAGAGGGAGGAGTGCAGACTCAGTGTGTGCTAGCTGGTTGTTACTTCTGAACTTACGTAATAAGCCTCTGTTCTTGTTTATAAGCAAGGAGTTGCTTTTAATGTGTATTGAAGTATAAATTCTTAGGAATATCCTTTGTAAATTTTGTCTTAATATATTTTAACTCTGTTTTCCTTTTCGTCGTCTTTATTAGTGTATATTAATTATACCAAAAGGTTTCATTGTGATGTTTTCATATGTGTAAAAATGAGCTTTAGGATAAAAAAAAAAACCCTCTATTACTTTCTTATTTTCCTCTCCCCAAATAGAATGCTGTTAGAGTTCTCATTTTTTTCATACATGTGTGTAAAGTACTTCTAACTTATTTACCCTGCTGCCCATTCCTTCACCCTCCCGCTGGTTCCTTCCCAGTTGTTTTACCATGTCACTCATATTTTGGGGCGGGGAGGTCATCTTTTGGGGGGAGCTAGATTCCCCATATGAGACGGAGCATGAGAGAGATGTATCTAAGTGCAGAGATAGTCGTGTTTTTGGAAACAGAGCCTCGCCCTATATCCCTTTGTAGCCTAGGCTGGCTTCAGACTCTGCATCGGCCTGTCTCAGCTGTCGAAGGCTGATATTGTAGGCACGTACCACCACCCTTGTTTAGACCATCTTGACCTGGAAGAAAGGTCCATCAGTAGGAGCCACATTATTTCACTTCCACGCAGGAGCGTTCAGTGACCACTGGTCTTCCAGAAGGACCTTTGCTTCAGGTGGCCTGCGGGGCCCTCCCCATAGACTCTGCTCAGGGGTCCTGGGGCTTCAGACTTGGACTCCGAGTGTTTAGCAAGGGCATGTTTCATGTGCTATACCATGTATATGGCTTGTTATTTAACAATACATGCTATTGTTCACAGCTTTCTAGTCCTCTGGTTCCCAGGGGTGTTATGTACACAGGAAGCACGCTCAGCCACTGAGGGGTCCAGCTCAGCCCCAGGTGTTCTGGAAGGTCTGTTGAGTTGCATTGCTAATGGTCACATGGCTGAAACATCTTCTCAGATAGGGGTGGCGTATACAGCATCTTGACCTGATACGACCTCAGAGCCGAGTGCCGATGTGGTGGATCTGACTGAAATTGTTGCCTATGAGAGACAGTTTGGGTTGATTTCCCACCTGGCTGCAGCAGTTACATGTAGGGTCAGTGCAGTGCTGCTAAGCCAGCCTCCCTCACGATTGCAGGGCTCGTCATTTACCACGCAGCAGACCCAGGCATACAATCTTTTCCTGACCACGGCCATCGGTGACCCCATCAGACTGTGGGACTTGCGGACCCTGAGGTGAGCCAGCTGCACTCGGCTCTGAGGGAGGGACCCTGACCGGTGTCCCTCACGCCACGGAGCTGGGCTGAATCCACACCATCTGGGGAGATGGACTTGGGCCGGTGGAGGTGCTGGTGGCTGGCATGAGGGGATGGGGCTGCTTGTGCTCAGAGGGCCGGTCACCTGCGTTAGGCTCCCGAGAGGTGTCAGGGCCTCACAGCCTCAGCACCGCGAGGTGGATTCCTGCTGGACATCACATGTACCCCATAGCAGCCCTGGGCCCAGGTACCCTGGGAACAGACGGCCGTGTTTCTCCCTGGCTGCTTTTCCAGCCCCACAGAATCCTGGTTCCCCCATCAGGGGCATTTCTTGAGATACGTTAAAATCAGTCAGTATGTCCCAGATGTGTTTGTGTGTTTATGTCAAACATAAAATCCTGTTTGAGCAAGTATGCATGTACCTTCTGGTAGTTATATGACGGCAGCACTGCATGTACAGATTATATACAACGTACTCAAATTGGTGTGTGTGGGTAGACAAGGATACAGCCAGCCATAGGCCTGCTCTGCGCTTTAGTGTAAGTGGGTCCAGTGGACAAGGTCCCAGTCCCCCACCCCAGCCTGCCTGTCTCAGGCTGTGCTCCTGACCGCTCAGAGACCGCTCTACTGAAGGCTCTGGTTACCCTCCAAAGGAGCTGGAGATTCTCCAACTTTTCAAAGGAAAGTGACCCTGCACTGCACTTGATGAGTACGACCCTTAGTCCTCTGAGCTCTCTTCAGCTATTTACAGTGCACCTCTCAATCCCCACGCATGTGTTAAGCAGGATGTAGCTCGGGGGCAGAGCCTTGCTGGCACGCAGGGCCTCACCGGCCCCCGCCATGCACAGCCTGCTCCGCGTTCATTTCTGTCCTCTGGGTGCTTCTTGTGTCCTTGCAGGTGTGAGCGCTGCTTTGAAGGATGCCCAGATGGAGGCTTCCCCTGCGGCATGGCTTTCAGTCCCTGCGGACGGTTTGTGGCCTGTGGCGCGGAGGACAGACACGTGCGTGTACTTGCAAGTCCTTGCTTTTGGGGATTCCAGATGAGCTCCCCCATAGACTCTTAGCCTTCACGTGCTTGGATAAGAATCCTGCTCACGCGTCACCGCTGGTCAGTGTTCACACAGCAAGGGTATTTTAGAATCGGTAGCAGGTGGACATGAGAGGCTCTGACATGCTTAGTGACGTGAAATAGATAAATCACTCAATGACTCATTTTCTGACCCATTGGTAAATACTTCACAGACACGAGTGTGCACTGCATGGGAACATTGTGTTTCATGCCCTGCTCCGTCTTAGTTACAAGATAATGAGCAGTCCATCAAATGCTACATCACACCTGTGCCTGGGGTCCAGTTGGCCTTAGGGAACCAGTGTCTCTTGGAGTGACATGGTCATGCCAGTGACTGTGTCCCCTCTCCAGCCCGCTAAGGTCACTGAGATCGTCAGGTGTGAGGGTGTGCTCTGGTGTTGAGGTCAGGTGTGAAGGTGTGCTCTCGTGTTGAGGTCAGGTATGAAGGATGACCTCTGGTGTTGAGTTCAGGTGTGAAGGATGACCTCTGGTGTTGAGGTCAGGTGTGAAGGGTGATCTCTGGTGTTGAGTTCAGGTGTGAAGGATGACCTCTCGTGTTGAGGTCAGGTATGAAGGATGACCTCTAGTGTTGAGTTCAGGTGTGAAGGATGACCTCTGGTGTTGAGGTCAGGTGTGAAGGATGATCTCTGGTGTTGAGTTCAGGTGTGAAGGGTGTGCTCTAGAGTTGAGAACAGGTGTGAAAGGTGTGTTCTGATGTTGAGGTCAGGTGTGAAGGTGTGCTCTCGTGTTAAGGTCAGGTGTGAAGGGTGTGCTCTGGTGTTGAGGTCAGGTGTGAAGGGTGTGTTCCGCTGTCGAGTTCGGGTGTGAAGTGTGATCTCTGGTGTTGAGGTCAGGTGTGAAGGGTGTGCTCTGGTGTTGAGAACAAGTGTGAAGGGTGTGTTCTGGTGTTGAGGTCAGGTGTGAAGGGTGTGTTCTTGTGTTGAGTTCAGGTGTGAATGATGTGTTCTGGTTTTGAGGTCAGGTGTGAAGGATGATCTCTGGTGTTGAGGTCAGGTGTGAAGGATGATCTCTGGTGTTGAGGTCAGGTGTGACAGGTGTGCTCTGTTGTTGAGCTTGGGTGTGAAGTGTGATGTCATGTTGAGATGAGGTGTGAAGGGTGTGCTCTGGTGTTTAGGTCAGGCGTGAAGGGTGTGTGCTGGTGTTTAGTTCAGGTGTGAAGTGTGATCTCTGGTGTTTAGTTCAGGAGTGAAGTGTGATCTCTGGTATTGAGGTCAGGTATGAATGGTGTGCTCTGGTATTGAGTTCGGGTGTGAGGTGTGATCTCTGGTATTGAGGTCAGGTGTGAAGGGTGTGTTCTGGTGTTGAGGCCAGGTGTGAAGGATGTGCTCTGATTTTGAATTTGAGTGTGAAGGGTGTGCTCTGGTGTTGATGTCAGGTGTGAAGGGTATGCTCTGGTGTTGAGTTTGGGTGTGAAGTGTAATCTCTGGTGTTGAGGTCAGGTGTGAATGAAGTGCTTTGGTGTTGAGGTGGCTTCCCTGAGCATAGGAGCCCGCTCTGAGCTTTCCCCCCTGCCAGTGGCACTTGGATTACTGGAAAACCTGGAAAAAGTGTGTGGTAGGTTTGGCTGTGTGCTGGCCAATTCATCCCTCAGGTCACATCAGGATGAGTCCTGAGGCAAAGTGAAGGGAGTCTGATGTGCACACACTCACTCATGTGGGGCATGAACTAACTCTATTATGAAGCCTTTAAACTGTCAGCTCTAGAAAGCTGGAAGATCAGCTCCAGCCTGATGCTTTGAAGCAAAGCTATGCATGCATCTCTGCCTCGAGCTGCAGGCTGATGCATGGAAGCACAGGAGGGGCTGCTACTTGTCTTCCCACTCTGTTGGAGAAGATTGGATAAAAAGTTCACTGTTGCCTGTGGTTGTCAGGTGGATGTACTGGCAAGCCCTGCTGTCTGCCCTCTTGTCTCCTAGGCTTACCTGTATGAAATGGGCATAAGCACCTTTTCCCACCGGCTGCCAGGACACTCGGGCACTGTCACCACGGTGGCCTTCAACCCTGCAGCCCCTCAGGTAGGTCTGTGTGGTGTGGATGCGGGCACCGTGGTGGTCCTCTGGTAGGTGGTCTGTATGGTGTGGATGCGGGCACCGTGGTGGTCCTCTGGGAGGTGATCTGTGTGGTGTGGATGCAGGCACCATGGTGGTCCTCTGGGAGGTGATCTGTGTGGTGTGGATGCGGGCACTGTGGTGTCCTCAGGTAGGTGGTCTGTGTGGTGTGGATGCGGGCACTGTGGTGTCCTCTGGGAGGTGGTCTGTGTGGTGTGGATGTGGGCACCGTGGTGTCCTCTGGGAGGTGGTCTGTGTGGTGTGGACACGGGCACCGTGGTGTCCTCTGGGAGGTGGTCTGTGTGGTGTGGACGCGGGCACTGTGGTGTCCTCTGGGAGGTGGTCTGTGTGGTGTGGACACGGGCACCGTGGTGTCCTCTGGGAGGTGGTCTGTGTGGTGTGGACGCGGGCACTGTGGTGTCCTCTGGGAGGTGATCTGTGTGGTGTGGACACGGGCACCGTGGTGTCCTCTGGGAGGTGATCTGTGTGGTGTGGACGCGGGCACCGTGGTGTCCTCTGGGAGGTGATCTGTGTGGTGTGGACGCGGGCACTGTGGTGGTCCTCTGGGAGGTGATCTGTGTGGTGTGGATGTGGGCACCGTGGTGTCCTCTGGGAGGTGGTCTGTGTGGTGTGGATGTGGGCACTGTGGTGGTCCTCTGGTAGGTGGTCTGTATGGTGTGGACACGGGCACCATGGTGGTCCTCTGGGAGGTGGTCTGTGTGGTGTGGACGCGGGCACCGTGGTGTCCTCTGGGAGGTGGTCTGTGTGGTGTGGATGCGGGCACCGTGGTGTCCTCTGGGAGGTGGTCTGTATGGTGTGGATGCGGGCACCGTGGTGTCCTCTGGGAGGTGGTCTGTGTGGTGTGGATGCGGGCACCGTGGTGTCCTCTGGGAGGTGGTCTGTATGGTGTGGATGCGGGCACTGTGGTGGTCCTCTGGGAGGTGATCTGTGTGGTGTGGACACGGGCACTGTGCTGTCCTTAGGGAGGTGGTCTGTGTGGTGTGGACACGGGCACCATGGTGGTCCTCAGGGAGGTGGTCTGTGTGGTGTGGATGCGGGCACCGTGGTGTCCTCTGGGAGGTGGTCTGTGTGGTGTGGATGCGGGCACCATGGTGGTCCTCTGGGAGGTGGTCTGTGTGGTGTGGACACGGGCACCGTGGTGTCCTCTGGGAGGTGATCTGTGTGGTGTGGACGCGGGCACCGTGGTGGTCCTCAGGGAGGTGGTCTGTGTGGTGTGGACACGGGCACCGTGGTGGTCCTCTGGGAGGTGATCTGTGTGGTGTGGACGCGGGCACTGTGGTGGTCCTCTGGGAGGTGGTCTGTGTGGTGTGGACACGGGCACCATGGTGGTCCTCAGGTAGGTGGTCTGTGTGGTGTGGATGCGGGCACCGTGGTGTCCTCTGGGAGGTGGTCTGTGTGGTGTGGATGCGGGCACCATGGTGGTCCTCTGGTAGGTGGTCTGTGTGGTGTGGACACGGGCACCATGGTGTCCTCTGGGAGGTGGTCTGTGTGGTGTGGATGCGGGCACCATGGTGGTCCTCAGGTAGGTGGTCTGTGTGGTGTGGATGCGGGCACTGTGGTGTCCTCTGGGAGGTGATCTGTGTGGTGTGGATGCGGGCACCATGGTGGTCCTCTGGGAGGTGGTCTGTGTGGTGTGGATGCGGGCACCGTGGTGTCCTCTGGTAGGTGGTCTGTGTGGTGTGGATGCGGGCACCATGGTGGTCCTCTGGGAGGTAGGTCTGTGTGGTGTGGATGCGGGCACCGTGGTGGTCCTCTGGTAGGTGGTCTGTGTGGTGTGGACGCGGGCACCATGGTGGTCCTCTGGGAGGTGGGCTGTGTGGTGTGGACACGGGCACCGTGCTGTCCTCTGGGAGGTGGTCTGTGTGGTGTGGACGCGGGCACTGTGGTGGTCCTCAGGTAGCTGGTCTGTGTGGTGTGGATGCAGGCACCGTGGTGGTCCTCTGGGAGGTGGTCTGTGTGGTGTGGACGCGGACACTGTGGTGTCCTCTGGGAGGTGGTCTGTGTGGTGTGGACGCGGGCACTGTGCTGTCCTCAGGGAGGTGGTCTGTGTGGTGTGGACGCGGGCACTGTGGTGGTCCTCTGGGAGGTGGTCTGTGTGGTGTGGACGCGGGCACCATGGTGGTCCTCTGGGAGGTGGGCTGTGTGGTGTGGACACGGGCACCGTGCTGTCCTCTGGGAGGTGGTCTGTGTGGTGTGGACGCGGGCACTGTGGTGGTCCTCTGGAAGGTGGTTTGTGGTGTGGATGCGGGCACCGTGGTGGTCCTCTGGGAGGTGGTCTGTGTGGTGTGGACGCGGGCACCGTGGTGTCCTCTGGAAGGTGGTCTGTGTGGTGTGGACACGGGCACCGTGGTGTCCTCTGGAAGGTGGTTTGTGGTGTGGATGCGGGCACTGTGGTGGTCCTCTGGGAGGTGGTCTGTGTGGTGTGGACGCGGGCACCGTGGTGTCCTCTGGGAGGTGGTCTGTGTGGTGTGGATGCGGGCACCGTGGTGTCCTCTGGGAGGTGGTCTGTGTGGTGTGGATGCGGGCACCGTGGTGTCCTCTGGGAGGTGGTCTGTGTGGTGTGGACACGGGCACCATGGTGGTCCTCTGGAAGGTGGTTTGTGGTGTGGACGCGGGCACCATGGTGTCCTCTGGGAGGTGATCTGTGTGGTGTGGATGCGGGCACCGTGGTGGTCCTCTGGGAGGTGGTTTGTGGTGTGGACGCGGGCACCGTGGTGGTCCTCTGGGAGGTGGTCTGTGTGGTGTGGACGCGGGCACCGTGGTGTCCTCTGGGAGGTGGTCTGTGTGGTGTGGATGCGGGCACCATGGTGTCCTCTGGGAGGTGATGCTGTGCAGGTGCTGGAGCCCTGCTTCTCTCGACAGGATGTCACTGTCAAATATTCTGAACTATTGCTGTGCCTGGGTCCTGAGCTGTGCTTTCCTGTGAGGTAGGGGATGGGTATGCTGGTTCAGGCATCATATCTCTTTATGGCTATCACTGGCCATCACTGGTCAACAGGGAGAGGATTCCTTGGAACACCAATTTTTAATGTGAAGGCCCAAATAAAAGTCTTATTGAGATGGACTAAGAGCAGTGGCATGGTGAGAAGTAACACGTTCAATTGTATCCTACCAAACAACTCAAAACACAACCCTACGCCAGAGCCCAGGCCTGACCCGGCCAACCTCACCGGGTCTGACCGCAGCATAAACTCCTAGCACAGTGTGCACTGATTTCTTCAGGAACAAAGGCATGTTGAACTCTTCATCATCGTTTCCTTTGGCCTTCCCTGATCTTCATAAAGTATGTGGGAAAGACACACATGTGATCCAATGGAACTATTCATTAAAGAAATGAAAGAAACTGACTTAGCGGTAGGGCCAAGGTGCTTAGGCGAGACTATCCTTAAGTCCAATTGCTTTCATCAGAGTTGGTAAAACGTAATTGAGTTACTTCAAATACATGTTAAGAAATGATTGTTTCACATAAAGTAAATTGCATATTTATCTATTATATACCATATGTAATAGGTTATACTAAATATATGTGTTAATATATATTTTTTCTTTTTATGTTAATTTTTTATTGTTATTATAGAAGGTACAGAGGGATTGCAATTTCATGAGTCAGTAATGAGTGCATTTCCTTTCCTAATGTATCTTTTGTTCCCTCACTCTCTCCCAGTCCCTCCCTCCTGTCTCTGCCCATAAATGTCAGTATCCAGTGCTCGCCACTGTTCCACTTTTTCATCCTTTCGCCTTGAGCTCTGTATGCTCCCCTGCACCTCCCAAAGATATACACCTGAATATACATACACTTAGAAGACAGAATCATCAAAAAATAAAAATGAAAGCCATGCGCCAGTGGCTCACGCCTATAATCCTAGCTACTCAGGAGGCTGAGATCTGAGGATTACGGTTCAAAGCCAGCCTGAGCAGAAAAGTCCGCGAGACTCTTATCTCCAATAAACCACGAGAAAAACGGAACTGGCGCTGTGGCTCAAGCGGTGTAGTGAGCTCGCCTTGAGCTGAAGAGCACAAGGACAGTGCCCAGGCCCAGAGTTCAAGCCCCAGGACCGACAAAAAAATTAAAACAAGAGATTTTGTTTTCACATTTTGGAATATATATATATATATATATATATATATATATGAAATATACTTATGAAGCGCCACTTAGGTATTATACCTTTGTGTTTTTCTCAACAGCATTCTCTTTTGGTCTCACTGTGTATATCTAGAATCCTGTATAATTTATTATGTCCCGGTGTCTTTGATGGAGTTGACATTATTGCATGGTGACAAAGAGGTTCCCACTTTCAGTTTTCTGTACATGGATGCCCAGTTTTCCCAACACCAACTATTGAAGAGGCTATTTTTACTCTGTGTGTCTTCGGATCCCTTATCAAATACAGATAACTGTAAGTGTATGGGTTTACTTGTGGGTCTTCTATATGTTCTATTGATCTTTGGGTCTATTTCTGTGCCAATACCAAGCTGTTTCTATTATTATAGCTTTGTAGTAGAGCTGGTATTACTTTTTTTCCCCTAGAATTGCTTTGACTATTCTAAGTCTTTTGTTGGTCTGCATGAATTTTTGTATTATTTTTGTCTTGGTGAAAAATGTCATTGGGATTTTGATGGGGATAACATTGAATTTGTATATAATTTTTGGCAGTTTGGCATTTCCTGGTGTCTTTTTGATTGTTTTCTTCAGATTTTTATAATTTTCACTATAAAGATCTTTTGCATCGTTGGTTAGCTTTTTTCCTAGTTTTTTTTTTTGAGGCTATTGCAAATGGAGTTGAGTATTGACATACAGAAAGGCTACTGATTTTTTTTTAAGGCTACTGATTTTTGTGGGTTAATTTTGTGTCTTTATACTTTGCCAAAGTGGTTGATCAGCTCTAGGAGCATGGGGACAGAGACTTTGGGTCCTTTAGGTATAAAGATCATGTGGTCTGCAA